AGAATTCCCCAGCCAGCATGCTGGCTGGGGAATTCTGGGAATGGACGTCCACCCATCTTAAAGTGGCCAAGGTTGAGAAACACTGGGTTAGAGAAATGAGTTCAAAATAACAGAATGAAATTGAACTGAAGCAAATGCAAAGCTTTTTATCTAGGAGAGAAAGAAATGTAATAATAATAATAGTAATATATTATATGCTGCCTGACTCCCAGTGACTCTGGGCAGTTGCACAGGGAAAGGGGACCTTCGATGATAAATGATCTTTCGGATATGAGTCAGGATCATCATCATCATCATCTTCACCTTCATTATTATTATTGTCGTTTGAATGCCACCCAATTCCCAACAACCCTGGGTGATAGTTCTTCTTCATTCTGCCTGGGTTAGCGCCCACTCTGATTCCTGTAGGCAGTTCTCAGCCTTGGAGAGACATCCAGAGAAACCGGAACAAGTTCTGAGAAATGCAGTGAGGATGCTGAAGGAAGCAAAATTGGAGATGTTTGGCCTTGAGAAAAGATGCCTTCTGCAAATACCCGCAGGGAGGTTAAACTCCAGGCCTGTGAGCAAGACCAGAGGCGTACATTTAACTTCCAGGAAGGGAGATTCCAGCTGAATTTAGAGTCTGGAGAGGATCAAAGAGATGATGTTGATGAAGGGAAGCAAGAAACATTGGCAGAACCATTAAGAGATAATACAAGAGGAAGTAAATGATCCTCCTTGATTCTGTTTGGTATTAAGAGGGAGCAGAGGAAAACTCTGGCAGGCTTTCAAAATCCTATTATTACACCCTACAACATTAAAGGAGCGTTCCAGTCGTCCTTGTGGTGCCTGTTTCCTGAGCTGGCCTACCTTGCAGGGCTGACCCTGTCGGCCAGAGGAGCTGCAAGCTGAGTCATGAGCAGGAAGATGGCAGGCTCCCTTTCACTGGGTGTGTTCAAATGGAGGCTGGAAGTGCTGTGTGTCAGGAAGCTTCAATATGGGTTCCTGTCCTGGGCAGGGGGTTGGTCTGGATGGCCTCAGGGGGTTGGTCTGGGATTCTTGGAGGGGCAGTCAAAGCACACCCCAAGAGCAGCAGTTTGGGGGTGAATGAAATCATGGACTGACCTGGGTGTACAACATGGTGCTCCCCTAATGTTCCACTTTGAGCATTCTTAACCACCAGGATATTTGTCACCCCCACCAAGACAGGGACATGCTGCCAGTCTGTCTGCTCACCCTGACCACACTGGTCTTCCTGAAGGGGTTCTGCAGCCCAGTGGATCTGACCCTGGAAGGAGCATGGAAGGGATGGAAAGAAATCCACGCCAAGGACTACCTTGAGGTGAGTTGGTGTCAGCCTTGCGAGGTAGTCCAGACAGGAAGCCTGCCCAGATGAACTAATTCTACTTTATTGTAAGGCTACAACAGATTCTACATTAACAGGTAGAATCTTGCAAGTCTGAAAGTGCATTTCTCCCCCGTTGTGATGGAATGGAATTATGAAGGCCTGGCTCAGGGAGATAAGCATGTTCTTAGTTCACCGGAGGAGCGTGGGAAGTTCAAGAGGATGAATCAGCTGGCACTTCCCTGAGGAATTCAGGGTGTTGTGGCTGGCTGGCTTGGGAGCTGGGGTTCAGTCTGGGGAGATTTTCTGTCTAGAGGTTGTAGCTAATAAACACAGTGGAACTGAATTTGCATTGTCTCTTGGAGTTCTTTGGGCTAAACCTGACACCCATCCCCTTTACTAGGGAGCATCTCTTTTGAGATGCTTTCCACGCCCCCATTCCTTCTGTGGGCTCAGCTACCGCTTATCTGACCATTGTCCTGGCTGCAGCTCTTCCTCCTGCCTCCCAAGGCCATTCCCCCAGACCATTACAGTTTGCAACAACATAGTTGGAACCCCTGTTTCCTTTGGTTCCTTAAATCTTCTTCATGCTCTGGGGCTTCTTAACCCCAGTCTGTTCCACCACCATACTGACCTTCCTTCCAGACATTCCAGAGTCTTCCAGAGAGATTGTCTTTCTCCAACTCCATCTCTGCCCATCTGGACCATGTTAAGTAGGATTTTGGTTGGAATTGACATTGGCAACTGTAGGCTGTCAGTGCTTCTCTGATAACCTTGAGCTCTAAATAAAAAGATTGACTGATTACATGCCATCTAGTTGTAATTGACTCTTAGCAGCCACATAGATAAATTTTCTCCATGATCTCCCCTTAACCTGGTCCTTCAGGTCTTCCAACAGTGCCCCCATTGCCACTGTCATTGAGTCCATCCCTCTTGCTGCTGGTCGTCCTCTTCTTCTCTTTCCTTCCACCTTTCCCAACATTATGGACTTCTCCAGAGAGCTGGGTCTTTGCATAATGTATCCAGAGTAGAGTAATTTGAGCCTGATCATCGGTGCTTCAGGTGAGAACTCTGGGTTGATTTGTTCAATGATCCACCAGTTTGTTTTCCTGGCTGTCCACGATATTCTCAGGAGTCTTCTCCAACACCAAAATTCAAAGGCGTCAATACTCTTCCTATCCTGCTTCTTCAAAGTCCAAAATAGAAAAATCAGGCACAGTTAAAGTAGCAGCAGGTGGCCCCCAGATTCCCCACAATGCTCTGGATGCAGCATTGCTCAGCAGCGTTTTGAGATATTACACACCTCATAGTTTTTAGCACTATTTTGGCCCCCGGAACCCAGGAGAGATGTCAGCTGGGAGATCTTGCAACTGAAATCTATTGGTTTCAGAACCGTTGCTTCTTTTCCCAGGCTGATGGGTCCTGGTATGTCCTTGAAACTGGGCTTAAATTAAAGCATTCCTTAAGTTTGGGTTTTTTCTTGAGGTAAGAGGGAGTTGGGAGAAGAAATTCTGTCTAAAGTATAAATATTAACATTCCACAAGTCCCTCAAGATCTGGCTATGGGATCAGGCCTGGGGAGACTGCGATGGCTCCCTTATTAATTTTATCCCCTCCTATTTTGTGTGTTTTTACAGTTTTTTTATTTGTAATTGTTTTTACGTCTTTATCCTTTTTAATTGTACGCCGTTGTATGCCGCCCAGAGTCGCCTTGTGTGAGATGGGCAACTATATAAATATGATAAAATAAATAAATAAATAAATAAATAAATAAATAAATAAATATGGGATGGGCACTTTGTGTCTTTACAGGAGGAAGAAACTTTCCGTCGGATGGTTTGGGAGAAGAATTTGTGGAGAATTGAACAGCACAATTTGGAAGCAGCTCAGGGGAAACACAGCTTCCAGCTGGCTATGAACCACTTGGGTGATTTGGTAACCAGGCAAACTTTGTATGGTCCTTGTAGTTGTGAAGCACCGACGGGCTCAGAGCTGCGATGTCATGCAATATTCACCGTGTAGCATCCATAACTGTTGGGGTTAAAATAGTAGCCTTTTTCGTATGGTGAGGAACCCTGGTGAGATGGCAGCTTCAAGCTGACCTGGGCGGATCTTGGAATCTAAGCAGGGTCTGGCCTAGTTAATATTTGGGTGGGAGGCCACTAGGAAATTCCATGACTGGGAAGTGGGAAAAATATGTCCATTAAGTCACAAGGGATCGAGTCTTGTCCTTACCGTTTTCAGCTGGCAGGACCCAGCTGATTTCAAACAAGCGAAGCAGGGTCAAACCTTTCAGTGGGATACAACTATGAAATTGCAAGGCAGGGGTAGTCAGAAAAAAGATCCCACTTCTATCCTGTTGCCAAGCATAAATTGCCAGAAGATGAACTGCTTTTTTGTGTATGGAGCAAGATGTAATGGTCTGTGGGAATGACCTTGGGAGACGGGAGGAAGAGCCGCAGACGAGACAACCGGCGTGTAAAAGGTGTCTCAGCCCACAGAAGGAAAAGGGACGTGGGAAGCCTGTCCTGTTAATGTAATCTTACAATAAAGATAGAGCTAGTACTCCTGGTGGTGCTTCTTCTCTGGTCTACCTCGAAGGGCCAACATCAGTCATGCAGGTCTGGAAGTATTCCTCCCCTCCTTTCCTTTTACTCTCTGGAAAACTCGGGAGGGTCCCTTCCCACGCCCCTTTTCCTTCTGTGGGCTGAGACACCTTTTAGTTGCTGGTTGTCAATTGTCCCGTCTGCAGCTCATTCCCACATACCATTGCTCTTGGAGGGGCTCTCGGCTTGACTAGGGAATTGCAAACCCCTCTTCTGTAGGAGAGGAGGTGCTTTGCGAGAGCAGCCTTCAGGAGTAGATGTGGGGTGCAAGAGAAGATCGGCATCGGTCTGGGAAAGCGGGAATAGCCAGTTATCGATCAGCCAAATTATCAATAACTCTTAGCCAGCAGTCAGGGTAATTCCCATGCATCCTTTAAAAAGAGGAGGTGGCCTTATAGCACCCCCCTTGGAAGGTAGGATAAGGTAGGCCAGGAGCGTCCTTGACCATGGAAGGCTGAGAGAGTTGGAGCTTCCCTGCTGAGGGGAAGACAAGCCCGTGGCCTCTATTGCCTTGAATCGCTGGTCCTTGGCCAGAGGATTTTCCATCATGGAGAGAGATTGGAGCTGGGGAATTCTGGGAGTTGAAGTCCACACACCTTAAAGTTGCCAAAGTTGAGAAACACTGCTCTAGAGGGCTGCAGATTTGCAAGTGGGAGACAGAAGTCCTGATTTCTTCCCCAGACAGATGAGGAGTTTAACCAAATGTTGAATGGTTTCCACCCCGATCGGGCTGGACAGTACGAAAAGGGTGTTGCCTCATTCCAAAAATCAGCCACGAGGGAGACGCCCAAGCAGGTGGACTGGCGCACGAAGGGTTACGTCACTCCTGTAAAAGATCAGGTGAGTCCGGGAGATTTCGTAGCCAAGCTAAAATTTGGGTTGCCACGATGGGAATCTCAATTTAGAGCTCTGTTGTTGCTGAAGCCAAAGTTTCTCATTCTTGTGGCCGAAAAGAGTTATCTTGGAATATAGGATGAAATATTCTATCCAAATATTATTCGAATGTTTCAAAGTGAATGTGGCAGAGATCAAGCTCGCAATTTTACACTTTGAAGTTTTATCATCTTACAGGTAGTCCTCATTTAGCAACCACAATTGAGACCGGCCACTCAGTTAAGTGAAGCAGTCACTAAGTGAAACCATGACTGTGCTTACAATCTGACTTCAGCTTTCCTTTGCTTTACAGACCTGTGAAGGTTGTAAAGGTGGGCATTGGTTGTAAAGTTACTTTTTCATCATTACTGTAACTGCGAATGGTCGCTAAGTGAGGCAGTCATTAAATGAGGACAACCTGTATTTAAAACTTGCAAACTTGAGGCTGCACTAGATTTCTAAGGAACTAGATCAAGACTGAAATCTTTATTGTGCAACAAATACTTTGATGTAATCTGTAGCACTTTTTTCCCCCTAATATTATACTCAATTTGGTATAAAAAAAGTCAAATGTTTGTAAGATCGATCTCCTAAATTGTAATTAATATTGACAGAATATTTTCTCTTTATTTCCAATACTCTTAAGTTATCTAAACAATAGGATGTCAATAACTTCAGTCAATACTGCATAAATATTATGGTATTGAAACAATATAACGTATCAAGATTTATAACAATATAATAACAAGGGAAAAAAGGAAAAAAGGAAAAAATGTCCCCATTTCTAAGAGCTGAATTCCATCAGGTCAGCACCACCAGTTTCTAATCCAGCATCTTAACCACAAGTTGCTCCAGCATTGTAGGGCATTCCTGTCATATCTAAGTAGGTTATACTTGATTTGTTTTAGTTAGTCTCCCATAAGGTCCGTGTGGCTCGATACTAAAGTCCCACCATTGGTTTATAAGCTTCTAGTCCTCATGGTTCTGTATAAAGGACATAAGAAGAAAGGGATGGAATCAGGCCCTAAGTCCAGCTAGCTTTTCCTGGCTAAGGTTATACAAAAGCAATGCTGAACGCTAACCAACATTGGTTGGCTGTTAAGTTGTGAACAGGCTGAGTTTTTCCTTTATCTGAGCACACCTTGGTAATGTGTGTGATGGTGATGGTTCAGTCTTTATTGTTACTATTGCTCTGATCACTGTTTACACAGCCTGCCAGGTAGCTCTACGTGGATTTGGTACTTCTAACTATTGGATCCTTCCCAAAGATCTAGGATAGTTAAAGATATTGCCATAATATATGTGCTGTTCTAAGTAATGCGACTTTTTTGTAATCAATGAGTTGATATTGTCTGCATTCCTCTTGTGTCCAAGGGCTTTTCTAGATCTTTTGATAGGCACCGAGTGCACTAACTGGCACCGCCACAACTTTCTTTTTCCACATTTGCTCAATCTCTGTTGAATGTCCCCCGTCCTCCTCCTAATTGCTCCTCCTGCAATTATAGGGAACCAAGACAACCAGCTTTGGCTTCCTGATCCTGCAGGGCAATTCCAGTGGTCATTCCTCCTTCTCCTTCTCCTTCTCCTTCTCCTTCTCCTTCTCCTTCTCCTTCTCCTTCTC